GAAGGGGGAGGGGGGGGGGGGGGGGGGGGAGTTCCGGCGCAATATTTGTAGAAGGGCGAGGAAAAAGAAAGACGTGGGTATGATCTCTGTCCGGCTGGTCTTACCTGGGGTGCGGATGAGTAAGGGTATCCGAACTGGGGGTAGGACATGGCAACCGGAGTGCTCCCAAGCTCCAGGAAGCACCAGAAGAAGCGTTGGGCGTGTGAATGCCGGCGGCAGCCTTGCTGTAGTTTCTGGTCCAGATGAGTGAATAACTCGGGTTTCCAGGGGCCTTAGAGTACCAAGCACAAAAAACACCTTGAATTCATCTACTGATGTTGCAACTTTTTAAAAAAGTGGCGCGGAGATATTCTCCCCTCCCCTCGGCACACAAATGCAAATAACACCGCGGTTTTAAGGAAGAGCTGCCTGAGGAACCGGGCGGGTGGCGCCTGACACAAACGCCATGCCTGCCTGCTCCAAGGTTTCACACTCACTCACTTACACACACTACATATTTTGCCCATCCACAGGCAGAGGAGGGCGGGGCGCAGCGGAGGCGAAAAACGACCCGTCTCTCCATCCGCAGGTCAAGTCCAATAACATCTGACGTCAGGAAAGGCCCCACAGGACCTGCCCCTGGCTCGTCTGTTTGTCTGGGCTGTGTGCTTCCTTTGGGGTAATTGCGATTGAAACGGTGCCCAAGGCAGCGCAGAACAGCTCAGAGCTCGCTTTCTTGGGGAGGCGACCGGCTCGCCTGTGGATTATTGGAACGAGGTCCAAATGCAAAGGGAGAGAAGTCTGTGGCGCCCCCACTCCCGAGAGGGCCGCACGAGGGTGAAGCTCCCGGAGCGGCGCCGGAAAAAAAAAACCCAACCCAACCCAACCCAAACAGACAGACAGACTTTGGAGTAGGAGGAATCTACGTTTACCTCGGACTTTCTCTTTTCTCTCCCTCCCCTGCCCCCGTTTCCCAGCGCGCGTGCGCGGGATCACTGAAGAGTGGTGAGCAGTTTTAATTAGAAATTAATTAATGAGCAGCTGCCTGCCGCTTCTGCCTTCCCGTCCTGTAGTCATCAGTCCCACTTACAAACGAGGCCGACAAGGGGACGCGCGCCAGCAACGCTTTTAAATCAACAGTTGAAAGCCGCCCCGGCGCTGACAACCAAGCGCACCGAGAGGAGACCCCTCCTCTCCTGGCGTGCCCTCGCCTCCGATCCTATGAACCCATTAGGCGCAGCTCTCGCCCCCGTTCCGAGAAGAGTTTTCTCTCCTCTCGACGTTCTAGAGGGGTGGGAATTGTTTAAAAAGGCACTTTTTGCCGTGGGAGTGGATTACCTTAAAGACACCAAGCAAATCTGGTGGGAGAGGACTTCTGCGCCCTGTTACGGAGGAACGAAAAGGTTTGCTACCCTCGCTCAAATCTGTATGCCGATCGACAGCTTTCAGCAAACGCCCGAAGTATTGCTGGCGTTTATGCACAATAGTCGAAAGCACTTAATATACACACGTTGACCCCGCAAGGTAGGGCAGTGTTATCATCCCGACCCTGCTGGCAGAGGGCTGGGGTTGTTAATAGATGCAGGATGGGAGGAATGGACTTGGGAACTGATACGTTGGTCTCTTCACTACTACTGGCTCTGACCGGCATCTATACACAGTGTCTGGTCTGTATATAAGTGAGGCTCTGATTAAATACTTAATGTCACTGGTAACTTTTCATTTCTTATAGCAAGATACTATATCCACAACCTGCATGTAGGTCTTGTAGACCTGGTTTTCTAGGCTATTGTGCCTACTCTTTATATTGCCATTTCAAGCCCTTCCTTGATTTATTTATCTCAAGCATAAATCATCAGCTCAAATCTGGTGGGTGGGTGGAAATCACTTTGCTACTCTTGCTTCTGGGTTCTTCATCTTTTTCTATAGTCTTCTACATACTTGACATGATACTTGAAATGCTGCTGAGTAGTAGTTTAAAAATAAATAAGGATGTTTTCTGTCTCTCTGACAGAGTGGAGGTTCACCATCTATAACTAGCAAACTTTGATTTTGTTTTGCCAAGATCAGTTCCCTCCCATCTAAATCCAGATGATGTCCATTACAGCTCCAGAATTCGACATGACTGTCCTAAAAACAGAACTTGTTAATAAGAAGCAAGGTAGCACTATTTTCCCTTTCAAACAAGTCTAACTGATTTTAAACTTTTAAAATTTCATATTAGTAAGAACTGGAATAACCTTATAACACAGAGTAGCCACATTAAGCCATAAGATGGGAGGGAACCCCCCAAATCAACAATTGGGCAATCCTTTTGTTAGAACCAACCAAATGATAATCCATGGTGGTGGTGGTGGGAACCTAACTTAGTTTAATCAAACTTATGTTGCATAGATGCATCTGCTGTGCCTCTGTCTGATCTGGCTAAGAGTGTAACACAGTCAAAGTGGAACTGGGGAGTGGGAAGGAGGGAAGAGTGGAAACATTAGACCAGATGGTACAGCCATACAGAGAATGGGAAAAGAGAAAACCCACCCTTATATAACCTCAAAACCTGCCTAATTTATGTAATTTGTGTCCAAGTTTAGTCCAGTTGAATGCTAAATATTTACCAAAATTCAACACTGATTATTTATCTCAAGCCTCTTGCTAGGCCTTTTTAATTTGAACATTAAATACATTTAAGTGTTTAATTGTTGTACAATATTTTAACATTTAATGGGAATAATTGCTCAGGCCCTCTGGATTTCCCTGTTAGGTTTTATCACTAATACCGTTGCTAGAGAAATGTTTCATTGATGTCAGCAGCGAAATGCCTAATTAATTTTAATAGAGGTGGAATTTCTGTATTGCTGAATACTTAAACAGGAGAAGCCAGGAGGCATGAGTTCAAAAGCCCATCCCTGGATCTTTAAAGCAGTCAGGGATTCTCAGACTGGGGTCCTACTCAATGAACACTTTTGGGTTATGTTTGTATTTCTGAGCATGCATGCTTAGGAACTCTTGCTTGGTTGGATTTACACCCCCAGTAAAAAGATAGTTTGAAATTTATACTGGGTCAGCCCACAAAGTTTTGGAAGAGTGTTCAAAATAAAAGTGAAAAAACAATGGCGTCTTAGTAACTGAATTCAAAAAGAACTAGGAAAACTCACAAGAATTTTTTGTGTTGAAGGTGGGCAGGGGTGTGTATGTATACAGATGCAAGACATTGCTTGTCTTGCAATGGATGGGAATTGACATCCTCCTCCACCCCCGCAACATTTACTCCCATCATATTAATCCTAAAGTAACCCTTTATTTAAATGACAATTTATTTTCAAATGAGCAGGTGCCCTTAAATCATCACCACTTCTTTACTTGGATGAATGTAATTTAAGGCTGAGCATAAAACAGTATATTCAGGAACCTTAGCAGGGTTAAATAGCATTTTTATTGAGCCTGAAGTCATTTAACAGTGGCATGTGGACTCTAAATCCAAGAGAATTTGTCTGAACTTATGGGGCCCAGTTTAAGACATTTTGCTGCCAAACATATGCCTTCCTCACCCCAAACCTAGATGTTTTGTACCCAAAGGAGATGCAGTTATCCCACAAATATGTCCCCTTCTTTCTGAGGGTAATGTAAAAGAACAATAAATCCTATGTTGCTGCCCTTTCATGAAGCTCAAGGTCGACTGCTTCATTCTTCCTGTTGGTAAAGCCAATCCTACTTTAGGGGGTTAGGATGAGAAACTCTTGGGAGGGATGGAAAACATGCAAAGCACAGTTCCCCTCCTTTACCCACCCACTTTCCCCCTTTTGCTTAGGCCTCCCTCCTAAGGGCAGAATACCCCCCCTCTCATCTAGGTTGTGTGTGTGTGTGCATTGGAGGAGGGGCAGGAGAAAAGAGCAGTCCCCTGAAAAGAGGAGTCGTGGGCTAGGAGATCTTGCAGTAGGCAACTAACCAGCTCCTCAGGAGTTTTGCAAGCCTCATGGTGTGTTTGTAGTGGGGAGGGCACCTGGGGCAGAGGAGGGGAGGGGAGGGCAGGAGTGCAGACTTGCTCAGAGAGCTGCCTGGGTTCAGACATGTGAATAGCCCCAGGGTCACACTCTAATTAATGACGATGTTCCCTTCTTCTCCCCAGCTGGAAGACTTGGTGCCTCTCAGGGACGAATCTGCCCGCTCTGACAGCTCGATTGAGGGTGATGGATGACTATCTGGAGACCGCAGTACACCTCATATAATCCTATCTGCTGCGTAATTGCTATAATTTACCGAGGCAAAGGCTTGGCTCTAGGAGGGCTGAGGGAAAGGCCGCAGCGGATCGCAACAGCGGCCCTTTCAAAAACAAGACGGCCCCGATCCCAAGCGCGCCTTCTAGGAAAGAGATCCCCACAGGATCCCTGCGCCGGCGGCCGCTTATAACTGGAGAAGAGCCGGCACTTCAGTTTCGTCCACAAGCCAGTTAATTTCATTAAATTTCCCTAATTTAGGAAGCCACTAAAAAGGCTGACTTCCAAATAGCCACCATGTTCTCCGCGTTATTCCAAAATCCCGCTTCACTCAAGGGAAAGGGGAGGCAAAGAGCAGCTGAAGGTGAGTTTCAAAGAGGGGCCAGCGGTGCGGTCTTGGACCCACTTCTTCCATCTACCCCTCCCCGTTTCTTCCCAGTTGCTTTTATGAGAATATAAACACATTTAATGAGTAGCATTAAACAGATTTCGCTAGAATGCGTTGTGGGGGCTGGGGGGCGGGGTCCCTAGGAATAACGTTTCGATCCCAGGCACGCGTTACTTCCCCTAAACTGAGCCGGGCTTGGTGTCATCTTGGTGTCAAGATATTTTCATATCTTACACGGTGGCAAAATTGGAGGCCTTTCCTCTCCCTTCAGTATGAAGAGGAAGGCAGTCTGCTGGATCCTACGTCCTTTGCAAGGTACAAGGGCAACTTTCCAGATTGTGTCGGACAACAAACTCGAGGGAACCGAGCGGGAGGAGGGGGGGGAGACGGGAGGGGCGGGAACCTAATGCACCGGCTGATCCATAGAGGGCTAGGGTTAAGTTGGTTGGCACTGGCATTGGCACAGAGGCGTTCCTCTTGGAGAGGAGGCACGTCCCGTTTCCTCCAGGGAAACTTTCACTTTTTTAGGCACCTCGGAGCCGGCGCTGGTGACTCCTGAATCTTTTCAAGCGGTTTGATAGGCTCCTGGCGCGTAGCAGCTCAACCCTGGTCGGTTGCATGAGATTATCCTATCCAGCAAGCGAGCACTCTATTTGATTTTGGTTAAGGATCGCCAGAGACTTGCTTCCCAGTAAGTGTGTTGGGGATCTAGCTGAGAATAGAAGGGGCTCCCTTCATTCCCTTTCCCCGGGTGCTCAAAGGCTCCCTCTTCTGCAAAGCAACCGAGCACCGATGAACTCACGAAGTGGATGGCAACTTTCCATAAAGCGAGACAAAGCGCGGCCGTCCCGGTTCCCTTCTATGGGAGCGACTGAACGAAACCGGAATTAGTGGGACCGCCGATTAATCTACCCTGGAAAATAGCAGGGGAGGACTCGCGAGGAAACTGAAGCAGCCATTCCAGCCGGTTGAACTCCGACGAATGTAAAGCCTCGGGAAAGATCGGTGGAAGTTGGAGGCTGCTTCGAATCCACGAATCTAAGGCCAGTTACCACGAGGAAGAATCCCCCGGAACGCGGAAGGGTTCTTACCCGAGCTCAGTCTTAGCTGGGTCTGTGGGCTGCAACACGCAGGCGCCCCGTTCACTCGGGGCTGCCGGGGGGTGGGGTGGTGCAGCTTCCCTGATCGCCAAAGTAGCTCAACGTTTGACGCCGCACTTAGAGGAAGGGGGAGTGGGAGGAGGCGGGGAAGAGAACTTGGAGAAGGGAGCTTCAAGCGGATTTTCAGTCTCAAAATAGGTACTTCGCCTTGTTCCGTCCCACCTTCTCCCCAAGCCTTGTCCTGGGAGTTTGCCCTGTATCCCAGTTTGCCTAGAGCAAACCGCCCTCCCCGACCCGAAAGAGTTCCTTCTTTTAGGCGCTGCTCCGGAGCCTGGCAGGGGAATCTTTGCCGCCGATTTCGGGAGGAGAGAGTCCCCTCCGAAGCCTTGGCTGAAGGCGACTTTCTTCTTTCCTTTTTGCTTTAAACGTGGACGGCCCGATTCGCGCCGAGGTTTATTTAGAAATGGATCTCGCTTCTGCGTGCAGCGCAGCACCTTCTTCTGATCCAGACTGACTTGGATGTCTAGTCGAAGGAGGCCGATTTTCGAAGCTTAGGGGGCAGGGCAGGGTGCCTACTGCTGTTAGCTCCATCGCGTCCAGAGAAACTGACTTGAAGGGGGGGCTGCCCCTTCTGCGCTAGGAATTCAGAAACGAGCCCGACTGTGGAGTAAAGAATGCTCATCCCTGTAAAGCGTTTCCCCCCAAGCTTGTCACCTCCTCCAGCCTAGTGTCCTTCAGATATGGGGACTACTAATCTCGTCATTATACCCGACACGGCCGCTGGGGACGATGGGCGCTGTAGTCTGACGCATTTGGAGCGCTTCCTTACTTTATCCGCCTCTCCAGCAGGCTTCCATTTTAAAAATCACCTTCCCAGCTATGGGGACAACGGTCCACTTTCAGGCTTCTTTACCCGAATCGTGGTCCATATCGCCCCCGCCCCAACCTCTAGGGGAGGCAGGAACAGGGACAAGCGATAGCGTCCCGTAAGAGAGAGCTCCAGAAAGTCTCTAACCCACGCGGGTGTCCTGAGGGAAAAGTGGCGGCGCGCTTTCTCGGGAAACATTCGCGAAATAGCACATCGCAGATAATGCAAGAAACAAGGGTTCTAGGAAAACCAATGAACGTCCCCCTCTCAACCGAAACGGGAGGAAAAGAGTTCGCCAATCTGCAGTGCGACAACCACAAAATTAAATTTCAAAAGGAATAAGTAATACTAAAGAAACGGAAAGCAATCCAGTATCCAACCAACTCTATCTTGGGACGAGGCAGAGAAACAGACGCGCGTCTGCAGGGTCTCGCTGCGCGCGCATGTATCTGTCTACGCCTTCCTTTTCTAAAGAAATAAAATCGGGTGTTTCTATCCCCCCTGCCTAGGAATAGTTTAGACGGGTGCTCTGCACGACGTCAAGGGGAGGCGATCTGGCTGGCAAGATGCGGAATAGTGAAAGAAATGGCTGTCCTATCTGGCCGGCTGCACCTGAGTTTTCCAGCCGTCGATCCACCTTAATTGCCCAGAAATTACCACCTCGAGTTCCGAATGTTAAGGCTTCAGTCCGGATTGCATTTCGCAATTCGTCCTCGGGCACTAAATTACGAAAGGGGGCATTCCCATCCATTTCTCATCTCGGGGTATAGCGTGGGGGGGGGGGGGGGGAGAAGGAGGGAGAAAGAGAGAGAGAAT